ATTGTCCAAGATTAATCTTCCGGGTGGATATAGCTCGCTAGCAGCCTCGCACCGAGGACCTATCCACGTCATCATTTACCCAGAATGCTTTGCATGTAAATAAAAGGGCCCTGTCCGTGTAATATTTTTTAAACTTTTAGTTTAAAAATGATAAAAACTAAACAGCCTACAGTATTTTTACAGTCTTTATTTTACAGTTAAAATATGTTAATTAAATAAAGTCTAATGTTAGAACTAATCGTGGATCCCTTTCAAATATCTGCAGTTTACATTTTAAGATGTTTATGTACTGTCGTTAGCTAAGTGTATGCCCCCTCCCCCCCGTTTTTCTGCCTCCAGTGACCTTGGGGGTAACCAGATCCAGATTCTTAACTACTCAATCTTAAAGACGTGCAGCAAACTTGAAGTCCTGTGAGTACATCGCTTAAAATGTTCAAATAAATCCTAAAGCACATTTATTTGGGAGAATCTAATCATGTGATTTGAATGTTGAAACCTCTTCCAGTTGATGCTTCGTCAAGATATTGTTTGTCAGATGTGAGATATGTTTTTTAATTCAATTGCCGTTTCAAGTTCTGCAGAAGCATGCTAATCATCCATTTATGTAAATCAGGTGTGAAGTAAGAAGACATGTTGGTTATTGGGATGATTGACCAAAATAAATAAATAAATAAAATATCCAGGATATTTTTCAAAGGGGGACAGTTATGTCAATTTAGATAGCTTATAATAAATAAAATCATCATAAAACTCATTTTATATTCAGTTTATCTCTGTCTGATATTATTAATCATGTAAGTGAGATAAAAAAGGAAAAACTAAGAAATAAATTTGATCTCTTAACAAACGTGACAAGATGAGACAGAGCTCTTAACTTTCTCGGCCATTTAAAGACGGAGCGCTCGGCTGTACGTTTGTTCAGATAAATCAGACCGAAGTGGTGAAGGAGGTTTAAATAAGCTGCTCAGAGGAACCTGAGCGGTGATTAGAGAGAAGAATAAAACCAGGCAGGATCTCCTGGTCCAAAGTGTGGCGAATTAAAGTAATCAGTTTGTTCCACGTATGCAAATTTAGGATAATTTCAAGTTCCTCTAAAAAGAAAGGAAGAAAAAAAAGAACAATTTTCAGAATGATTGTGCGCCTCGGTCTAACCGTACAGCAATGTCACCCTGAGTGTCAAAAGAAATTCACATTTTAAAGAGATGCATTCATCATTCAGAGGAAAATGTATTCTTTATATCTGATTTTGTTATAAAGAACAGATGAAATCTTTGCTCTATCTTTTTGACAGACGTGAGTTCAGAGACATTACCTTTTTCTTAAAGTGTGAAGCAGAAAATGTAGAAAAACTACATGGAGCTGCCGTGACTCACTCCATTAAGTGTCCTCAGATCGGGTTAAAATAGGAATCTGAAGAAAAATCCACGGACATGTCAGTCATAGATCACTTTAAACTGCAGCCAAGAACATATTTTTAGAATATAGCAAAAAATGTAAGTGCTTCTCATCAGAACATTACACAATACAGCGTGTAAAATAAGTATTGAACACGTCACCATTTTTCTCAGTAAAACTAGAGGTGCTAATGACACGAAATTTTCACCAGATGTT